TATATATATATATATATATAAATCATTGTTACATAACCAGTAAGATTACACTGTAAAAATTATTTAAAAAATATATTAATATTACAAAAAAATATATTTTCAAATCAATAAATACAATAAACTAATAAAATATGTAATTATGTGACAAACACTTATTGTATTAACATGTATACAGTAAATAAAATATAATATATATGATAAATAAAAATAAAATATTTTTACATACCTGAATTTTTTTATCTATATTATTTAAAATTGTGAAAAATTAATAATTGATAATAATTAATATTTTATTACCCTATCCGTTTGTTTATATAATAAATAAATTTTATTTATTTATCTTTAATTGTCAACTTTGGAATACTGGACAATGTTCATGAACAAACAAAAAATAATTAATTTATAAAATTCAATAAAAGTAGCTAAGATAATTAATTTTCATTAATAATGTCATATATTTAAATTCCATTCCAAAAACATCTTTTGAATTTATTTATTTAAATACTAGTTACATTTACCACACTACACCTAATTTTAAGAGATAACTTTTTTCATCAATAAATATAACATATATTTGTTAATGCATCAATAAATCCATTAGCATTAGAATATAAAAGAAAATGATAATTAATATATCTTGAAGTTGAAGTATGTACCTTTTTTCTAGATTACTATTAAGATACCTTTTTTTTTAATTATTGATAATGCTCATAATAACACTATTTATAATTAATATAGTTTTTATGTAAAAAAATCAATATAGTTTAAAATTATGTTGCAGGGATATTTAGGTTACAATTTTTTTACGTGAATTTCAGTTATAGTGTCTTATACGTGAAATTTTGTATACGTAAATTTTATGAAACAAATTGTAGTGTATTTTTTTTTTTTGTTTATACTTATTTTAAAGCTATCCCGAATTAATAACTAATATAATTAATATTTTATTATGTTGTTGCAGTTCCAATTTTCTATAATTAATTAATATTTTTTTTTGGGAAATTACAGGAGAAATAATGTTTTAAAAGTTGTTTGGAAATAAATATTTGAGAAGTTGTTCTTTATTTATTTATATTTATATTAATTTTTCCATAATTAATAAAATTAATGTTTTATTATGCTTTTATTTACAACATTATTTATGTTGTTAATTCAATTTCCTATAATTAAATATTTCTTAAGTCAATTTTCATTATAACTTTTACGTAAGTTTTGTGAAAGAAAGTTTTGCGTAATTTTTTTTCTTATTTATATAACACAAACTTGTGTTACAATTTTCTATGGGTGTGACACTTTCTACCCAACATATATATATAATAATTATAAAAAACATCTTTTTGGGTTAAAAAAATCTTTAGAATTAAAACAATGGTTCCACTAACATAAGAGTAGATAATTCACGTTCGTATGGTCAAATGCGAAATTTATAAGAAGATGAAACATGAGTTTTTCCAAAACAAAATAACAATAATGAAATCCTAAATTAAGCCTAGCTATGCCCCAATGTCACAAATCCTGTTAGAGCATGCCCAACTGAAACCTAAGTCACCTGCAACACAATTTAAACACATACAAAGAACAACAAGGGAGTGGAAAACATCTCACTCAGATTCAAGTGCAGAAATAAAGGTTAGACAGCATATACACAACAAATATAATACAAGTCACAAACACCAATCACATATAATAATACACATCCACATTCAGTATCACATGCACATTCATTTATCATGCAATGATGTTAGGGACTCGACTCATAAATGCATATATATATATGTGGCACCAATCACATATCACATATCATTGGTGTGCTGCCTAAACAACACACCTAAGGTAGTTTAGGATTACATATAGGGAGCTACCCATACACTCTCAACTAGAAAGATGTACTGCTAGGGTTTGGTTGGGATAGCGAAGCTGCGCAAGTTACGTCTCGTGCTCACAAACGGGAGAAATCGAGACATCCAAACCGCACTATCCCCTAGGACTCCTCCAAGCTGTTACACAAGATGACATTCCCTAACGATGTACTTCATATCGTATCCGTCACATAAAAGCATATGATGCATGTCACACACATTCACAATTCATGGACTCATCACTTTACTTGTCATGGAATTTCATGTCTTATCTCATTTTATCACGTTTCACATTCTCATAGTCACAGTATTTACAATAGCACGTAATTCATATCATGTCTCATGTCACTTGTTCACATTTCACGTTTCTCATAATCATACTCATAAGATCATCATTTGGAGATTCTTGTCTTCTCATACTCATAAAACACATCACTAATGTTAACACGGAAATAAGGCATCCCCACACATTTTGCACCATCAAATAAGACATAAAACATGTAAATCATCATAGGGATCACGCTTGGCGCGCCCCAACTAGCGCCCGACACATTAAATGTCACACCTAAAACGGAGCATCACACCTGGCGCGCCCTGAGCGCGCCCAACGAATTTAATGTCGTGCCTAAAGCAAATAATTCCGCCCAACGTAGCTTCACACGCGCTCGACATGACTTTCCTGCGTCCAATGCAACTTTCTTGAGCTCGACTCAATTTTTCTGGAAAACTATTAATTTGCGCCCAGCCCGAAGAACTGCGTCCAACACCTTTAGTTCGAACCTACACCTCGCAATCAGACAATTTTTCACAACAAACATGTAATCATATAAACTAATCAGTAAAAATCCTCCAAATAACACCTATATCATAAATCTATACTCAATTTTACATAAAATACCTCAAATCTTGTCAAAAGATCACACTCCTAATTGTTCCTCGTAGGATTTCTCACAAGAACCCACATAACACTTTAATTCATATCAAAACTTATATATTTTTGAAATTAAACACATATTCACGCATCACACCCAACCAGGAATACAGCAGAAAACTCATACATCAAAACAAAAAACATTCATATTTTGCCCGTTCCTATAAGCATGCATCAGGCAATGGATTGGGAGTCAATCCTACTACCAACAATATTCTCACACTTCCGAGCGAGGTTTATCACTCCCCCTTACCTTGATAATTGGAAGACAAAACACAAACAAAATTCGATTGTTCCTCTTCTGGTTCTCCTTGTTCTTCAGAGCACAAAACAGACAGCACGTAATGAGGAATGAGAAGAAGTGAGAGCGTGAAATGAGAAAACCCTTAATAACTTATGATAACTTCTCTTAACCTTCTTTTTCTCAACTAATAAAATAAATATTAATAATAAATATCAAAAGACCTCTACATCCCTCTTTCCTTTCTCATAGATAATAATAATATTAAACATACCTTCTCCCTTTTATAAGATAACTTAACATAATTATTAATAATAAAATATATTTCATAAAAATAACTCTTGCTCCACTAATTAAATAAAATATAATAACAAATCATGTCACATAATTAAAATAGAGCTTATATAATTAATTAAATAATATAAAAAATACTAAAATAAATACATTAAACATGAAAATAATTTCTAAAATACTATTTATTATAAGATATAAAATTCAAGGTGTTACAACGGGTGAAATATTTTTTGTAAAAATTTCTTTGGCGTAATTTTATTATTTATGTTCATTTTAAAATAGTTTCAATTTGCTATAGCTAATATATATATATTTTTGGAGAAATCTCATAAGAAATAATACTATAATAATAAAGAATTATTGCATATAGATAATATAGAAAAAGAAAAATGATTGCACAGAAGATTTATGAGAAAGTTGTTGAGTTATTTTAAGTAAGATAACACATATAAGTGTGATGATCCATGAATCCGAATGTTGTAAAAGACGTGGCTAAGGCTAACATTTGTGGAGTGTAATAAGAATAATAGGAGGTGGCTTGCCGCTCCATGCAAGTATCTTGTTCTGTATACGCAACATTCGATTTATTGAAATACACATACGTATATAATTGAATAGAGAGGGTTTGTTCATGTGATACGTGCCTTGGCAACGGTTCACAAAGTGGGAAAACGATAAAGTAGGCACATTTAATGACAGACAGAGTCATCGGGAAGAGAACAACCTAATCGCGACAACCTTTGCCGCTGCCGTTCACTAAACGCAAACAACACGTGCTTCAAATTACTCTTAAGTCTTAACAAAATACCAATAAAGTAGTAATGTCAAACCGCAAGGCAGGTCATACGAGGCAACCACGGAAACAACCCATTACCCAACCCAAAAAACAAAACATTTATTAATAAATAAATAAAATAACAAACCCACATATTCCTCGTGCCTCAATTTCATTTTCCCTCCTCCCAATTAAAAATTCTCATTCTCACCATTCTATTATATATAATAACTTAAGCCCTTCTCTCTTCACCGTCGCTTCTGTCTTCTCAAAATTTAATTCGCCAACAACCATTTCTCAGAGGGAAGAATGTCAAGCTCATCGGAGTATTCAGGTTTTTCCGGCCACCGCCCGGCGGAAAAGTCAACTTTCTCTCAGACTTGTAGTCTATTGAGCCAATACCTCAAGGAAAAGGGCAGCTTCGGAGACCTTAGTCTCGGAATGAGTTGCGCCGTCGAACCAAATGGTAACAATTTCATTTTTTTTTTCCTAATCAACCCTTTTTTTTCTTATTACCCCCTCGTTTGTTACCAATTTTATTCTATTAGAAGAAAGCAATTCGAGAAAATCGTGGGTTTCGATAAAGTTTTATTTTTTTTCCCCTTATTCCTAGGTTTGAACTTTTATCTAGGTTCAATGTTTTTCAATTGCTCCACTTACATTGGATACTAAAGTAAAACCGGATCTAACACATGGTTTTCAAGTTTTCCTTCTTATCCGGAGGGCCTAGAAAAAAAATGTCAAACGAAAATATTTTGCTTTTGGGTATGAACCTAACTGTCCAGATTTTTCTCCTTGAAATGTTGCGGTTTTGGATTTTTTTCTCTCTCTTTAAATTTGGGGGAAAATGATAGAAAGGTGAGATTAGTTTTAAGACATTTTTGAGTGCTGAGAATATTTTTGTGTCGAGATAGATGGTTATAGAAAATATATGCCCCAAAACTGCCATGGACTTGCGTGTTTTCTCTATGAGGTTTCCTGAACCATCATGTGTCACAGGTTCCCCTGAAACATCGTGTCACTCTGCAACAACCATGGAGTTGTTTCCCACCATCATGACGCAAAGGAACCCCACTGCCATGGATTTCCTCTCTCCGCAAACTGCTTTTCCTCGCCACTCTGAGGTTCCATCCATTGTTAAACCAAGGTGTGTTGTTTTGCTTGTTTAGTTAGTTGTGAAGTCAGTGAACAGCTTTTCAAATATTTATGAGTCATGCCGGGAATGGATTCTTTGCATTAACTTTACCATAAGATATTCTAATTCTTCGATAAGTTTTATTAATACAATACGGGTCTTGCTAACTTAGTAACTAGAACCCTAAGCGTACTGATTAAAAAATTAATATGGAGAAAATTTTCATTGAAGACTACAGTAAAATTACACAATAGAATCTTCGGGATACTAGATAGTAGATAGCATTTTCCATGTAATATATTTCTGTTTTAAAATTGAGCTTTAAATGAATCAAGGATAGATCATAACATTTGACCATGTAAAGTAGTTTATTTGTTCCTAGTCATGATTGCATACAGTTTCATAATGATTAACAAGTTTTTTTTTTTTTTTTTTAATGTTCTACAGTTCATTCAAGTCTATGGAGAAGGAGCCTAAAGCTTCTCAGTTGACAATCTTTTATGCTGGGCAAGTTGTTGTGTTTGATGATTTTCCTGCTGATAAAG